CCCAATATCATGACACAAGTTGAGGCCACATCCTCCTGTCCTATCACTTGTTACCTGGGAGAAGAGACTGACCTCCACCTCCTTACAACCTCCTTTCAGGTAGTTGTTGAGAGTGATAAGGGCTCCCCTCAGCCCTTTTTTCTCCAGGCTAAACAACCCCAGTTCCCTCAGCCAGTCCTCATATAAGACTTGAGACCTCATATAAGTTCCTGAGACCCTTCACCAGCTTCATTGTCCTTCTCTGGACATGTTTCAGCACCTCAGATGTCCTTTTTGTAGAGAAGGGCCCAAAAGTAAACACACTTGTTGATGTGCACAGATGTGGTGCTGACAGCTTTTGACAGCTTTTCTGATCTCAGCAAGCTTTTTATCTATAGTTATTCAACTTATTTCATTCATAGAGAGTAAGGGACTGTACAGTAGAAAGTGTAAGGTAAACCATCATCTGCTGAGTTTATCCTCTCCTAAGTTTCCGGTTCCAAGAAGTTCCATAGCAGATCCAAGGTGGCTACTGTCCCTTTGAAAGCTGTGTATCTGCAGGTCTATAACCCTGACGTATTTCCTCAAGCCAAGCATGATTGTTGTCTTGTTACCTGTATCTGAGGGCAGTGTGCTTCCAAGTTTGGCTTTTATCTGGGCAGAGTGGAAACCAGCACTTTCCCAGGCTGAGCCTCCCTGAGCCTGTAGTACAAGCTGCCAAGGGAAGTGGCTGCGTCACCATCCCCGGAGGTATTTGAGAGACATGCAGATGTGGTGCTTAGGGACGTTGTTTAGTGGTGGACCTGGCATTGCTAGGTTAATCTGTGGGTCTCGATTATCTTAGAGGTGTTTTCCAACATAAATGATTCTATAATTCTGTGCCTTCAGCATCAGAGCTCGCAGCCTGGTTGGCTAAACTCATCTATTCTGATAATACTTCAACATAGAGTTACTTCCTGAGAGATACCAGATAGCTAAATGCAACTTTTCCAAATAGAAACAATTGCTAACCACTTCTTATAACATGAGAAAAGTAACAAATAAAAAATGCTTTCAAAATCTGAAATACTTTACAAAATTCCTTTATCACTTCAGTGTGTTTTTTCAGGGCTGATAAAGAGTTAGTTACTCTTGCTCTGCTGGCAGCTTGCTTGAGTTAACCTAATTGTTTGTGTCTGCTGTCTCACTGAACTGGGATGTCTTTCTACAAATGGATGACAATCAGAGTTAGCAGTATGTATTATTACTGCTTTGCCTACGTCCTAATCTGAGCCAAGATTAAGGATAACTAGTGTCACATGTGCATATTGCAAACAAGTGCATAAATATACACAGAAAGATTTCCTAGGTCACTATTGTCGCAGGTTAGGGCTGGGCTGGCCCCTAAATGTGGACAGATGCTCTCTAACCCCCTCTTTTCCCCCCAAATGGGAAGGAAAAGAGAATGAGGCAGAGAGACTTACAGGTTAGGAAAGAAAAACTAGAAGGTCTTCAATAAAGCAATAATGGAAATAATAGTGAAATGATAAAAATAAAGAACTAAGTACAACTATATATAAGCCCAATATCAAATCTGACTCCCTCCCCTGACAGCAATCCCCACTGATGCTGCAGAGCAGGAGGCACTGGGGAAGCCCCAGGCTCAGCGGCGTTTGGAGCTGGATACAGGAGCTGGATTCGGGAACTCAGGATCCAGATCAACAGCAGGAGGTCAGATGGAGTCCTCCCTGGACACTGGCCATTGGGGAAAAGGGGCAGAAACTCTTGTGATAGCTCAATTTATACTAAATATGACATGTATGGAATGGAATACTCTTGTTGGTCACCTGTCCTGTCTGTAACTCACCGGAGGTGCAACCTTTAACTTCCTTGTGACCTCTCTCACTACCTGGTACCCCCAGTGTGGCACACAAGAGCCAGCAGTGGCCTTGGGCACTACAGGAATAAGTATCAGCAAGAGCCTGTCCACATACCAGTCCCAGGCAGCAACTGTAAACATCAGGTGTTGTCACTGCCGGTAACACACAGTGTCTGCAGAAACATGCTGCTGACTTCAGAGAGTGAGGCCTTTCAGAAGAGACTGAGCTGAAAAGTAAAAATCACTGAACAGAATTGGGGTCTTTAGCTAAAACCAGGACAACTATACTGTGGGGTTTTTCCTAACATCTGTGCTGACCATCTAAGTGTTTGCTCTTCTTTCATTCAGGTATTTGGCCCAGAGATTTACGAAGCATATTATTGCAGTCATCTTTTAACTGATATGTCAAACCTTTAATATTTCTCTAAAGAAATAATTACTTCCAGATCAATGAAGTAGAAACATTCAAAGCAGCAGTTAGAACTTGTGTAGTTTAAGCAGGCTAAATCATCTGGACTTGCTCCCAACTTTTCACAAGTGATCTTGTATTTGGAAATGAAGCCTCTTACTTAAAAAGTTGTCCTTATTTGGAAGTATGTGCAAAGTAGCTGAATCTGGTAGCTCTAGGAACAATACAAATGGCCTAATCCTTTTTACTCTCTCTGCCTGCTCAGGATGAAAACTCCTTAGCGGAAAAACGCACGCGGGTGCACGTATGTAATGTGGATCCGTGTATGGTTTGGTACTGGGCAACCTGGTGTTACTGAAGAGTCCACAAAGACCCTCCTGCTGAGTCGTGAGGTTCAGACTGGACCCCCTCACTTTCTAAACTTTTTCACAGAGAGGGGTTGAGGTGTGGCTGGATCCAGTCGTAGCCCCAGGAAGAGTTTGGGCCCCAGGTTCTGCCCCAGAGTTGGTTTATTTCAGCTAGAGCTGGGACCCCCAAGAGGACCCCCATTAAAGAAATCCCACGACAATTATACCTGTACAATCCGAGTTCACCTACCCCTGGATCCCCACAGGGCTGGTAGCGGGCTCTGTAAGCCCCGGAGGACACAGCCCTGCCCAGGGGCTCGTATTTAGCCCCCGTGTGTGGCACACGTACTGTGGCTCTCCCTCTGCAACCGGCCTTGGCCAAGCCCCTGTGGGCCCCGGGTGCCGCGCTCTGCCCGTTACCTCACGCTCAGGCATGGGCGGGTCCCAGCCCGGCACTTGGCTCAGACCCCCGGTCCCTCCCGTATCTGGCCCAGCCTCGTGGCCTTTTCAGTGCCTGCTTTCCCAACAATCTACTTGCCAGCCACGCTGGCTCGGTGTCTGTCAGTGATGGTGCAGGCCATGAGGAGGTGTGGCCCCTTCTGCCATCGCTGGCCCTCGGGCCTCTGCGCCCTGCGACACAATGTGACACCGATAAATAAATAAGAAGCTGGGACAGACTGTGGTGATCGGCGCCCCACAGAGAGCCCTCTTCTAGGGAGAGGCACTTGCTCAATGTCTTGGCCTCCCATGCCCTGGGGGTCCCTCACCCTGGAGCCAGGCCTTGGGCTGACGGATGGGCTGGGCTCTTTGCCTTTTGATTATGTAGATTAGACTTTAATCACGTAACCTAACGCTATAGGTAGTTCCCAGGCATGTCTGTAGATTTTGGAGGATGTTGTATAAGCCATAGTCATGCCAGCTGTAGGAACACTGAGTACATTTGCAGGTGGGAGAAGGTCGTTATTTCTTACTCTAGGGGTTTTTTTCTAGTTGTCTCAGTGATAAATGCTGAAAGTACTGGTTTAGGTCTTTGTATACTCCTGCGTGTGACCATGCACAAAAACCTGCCTTTAAATAAACCTAGGGCTCTGTCAAACTAAAAATAAGTTGAAAGCCTTTCTGTTACAATTTCTTTCTTAAAACTGTGAGAAGGAAAATGTTAAAGGTGATTCTAACAGACCAGATTACCTCTCATTAAGCTTTAGGTCTTGTTACATCCATGTACTCTGGATCTGAGAAACGCTAAATGTCTTTAGGGGTTTAATCTCAGATGCCCCAATTCAAAACCCAGCTGTGGGAAGCATCTTCTGAAGCGTCGCTACGCCAGCCCAGAGAACAGCAGGCAGGGAGGCACTCTTTAAAATGAGTGTTGCAGAAAAGGTGATGGAAGTTGTCCTCATCTTGCCTTACCATGGGAAGTTGTAAGGTGAACATTGGGGATGGCTTGTTCAAGGTTGTCTGAAGAGAAGCCCATGGGACAGGGATCAGATTGCTCAGCTCTGTGGCTCAGGGCTGACCCTTTGCTGTGGGTGACCACCACTCTCACTGCGTGACCTTACATGGGTTTCGCCCTCTTGGAACAACCTGCTTCATGCTTCTTGAAGGAGATGATGCTCCATCAGCTACTCATGGAAGTACCTCTTGGTAAAGTTTTTGTCAAAAAGTGGAGGAATCTGGTCTGTTTTCTGCCCTTTTTGGTGCAAGATTTAGTTTGGCACATTCTTAATGAAACTTTGGGTTGTAAACTGAACAAATCCCCTCATGGTCATCACAGCTTTCCTCACACAGTAAAAGTGAATAGTACTCATCCTCCTTGTAGAAATATCAATATGAATAAGATCAACAGCCATAAAAAAAAAAGTATCTTCAGTTCTTTTTGGTTTCCCATGGGTAAATGCCATTATTTGAAGGAAATATTTTAGTTGCCCTCTGAATGCAGTTATAAACAGAACAGAAATAGGAGAAAAACTCTCCTAACTAGATTTTAATCCCAGAACATGCAAGGTCAAGCTTGACTGCTCTTCTGAACCAATTATGAAATACAAAAGTTTGGTTTTTTTCATGAAATAAGAATTTAGTTTAAGGGTTTTGCCACAATATTTTTGTTCAAAGGGTATTAAGCTAAGGCTATCCACAACAAAAGCATGGCAGAGGGGAGTTTTAGCTTTGAAATCTGTTTTTTCTTTTTCCTGAGAGCTACTTCTGGTGCAGAAGTGGTTCAGGGTTTACCTGCTGTTATTTGCACTGCTATTGAGTCAGAAGAATTAGAGAATGAACTGTCTTAAGTGAGGCAGAATTTCCTTCTTAGCTCAAGATATGTGATTCAAATAAATATGTTCTCATTTCCTTCTTTTCCTAGGAATTTTCCTCTAGCAAAATTGAACATTTTAATGGACACTGTTTAAGATCTATGAGAAAAAACATGCCACCCTGCTCAGAATCTAGCTTTGACAAAACCATGGAAATATTAAGTGAAAATGTCAATCGCAGACACTTTACAAGGTATTGTATTTCTAGGTGTTAAATCTCTGTTCAGTTTACAGAATGAAAAGGAAAAGTGAAAGTGTGCGTGAGTTGCATCGAGGTAAACTTACAGCTAAAAATATGCAGGAGAATATGATTATGTTAAAATCAGTGCCAGGATCTCAAAACTGGAATCACCCTTCTTAGTAAAAATCTTGTGCTTGTATGAAAAACACGCATCTTTTCCCAACTCCTTTGAGTGTGAAGAGTGAGAAGAAGGTGTCCAGCAGGTCTAAGGAGGTTCTCCTCCCCCTCTACTCTGCCCTGGTGAGACCACACCTGGAATACTGTGTCCAGTTTTGGGCTCCTCAATTCAAGAGAGACAGGGACCTACTGGAGAGAGTCCAATGGAGAGCTACGAGGATGATTAATGGACTTGAACATCTCTCCTATGAAGAGAGACTGAGAGAACTTGGGGTTTTAGTCTTGAAAAGAGAAGGCTGAGAAGGGACCTTATTAATGTATATAAATACCTGAGGGATGAGTGTCAAGAGGAAGGTGCCAGCCTCTTCACAGTGGTGCCCAGTAATAGGAAAAGGAGTGATAGTTACAAGCTAGAACATAGGAAGTTCCGCCTCAACATGAGGAGAAACTTCTTTACTGTGAGGGTGACAGAGCCCTGGCACAGGCTGCCCAGAGAGGTTGTGGAGTCTCCTTCTCTGGAGACTTTCAAAACCCGCCTGGATGTGTTCCTGTGTGGCTGCCAGAGGGGATCCTGCTCTGGCAGGGGGGTTGGACTAGATGATCTCTAGACGTCCCCTCCAACCCCTGACATTCTGTGATTCCCTCCTCCACTTTGGTTACTGAGATATTTATTTGACCTATTGAGATTTCAAGACTAGCAGGTTAGGAGATGTGTGTCCTTGTAGAACTGCGTGCATGTGAATCCTCCTGGTGGTTCACAGATTTTTCTTTGCATTATGTGGAGCACCACATTATAAACTTGGTGAAGTTCCCCAGTCTTGAGGGGGAACTATACAATGTGATATGATATGATACAGTATAATACTTTCATACAATAATACTTTTCTTTCTTCTTCTTTCTTAATGTAGACAGTTGGCAGAGCCAAAACCAGACCAAAAAAAAGAAGGTAAGTAGTGGTAGTTCCTTAAGATTCCTTTTTAGCCTGGTTTCTGAGAAACAGTGACCAAATGCAACCTATCTTTGCTCCAGAAATTTCTGAACTCGTCAGTGAAAACCAGCTGAAGTTGTGAGGTTAGCTCAAAGACAGTGAATTTCCTATGAGTTTTATGAAAAGAGGTAGTTGCAAATCGATGGATGTGTTATTAATTCCTTTGAGACTTGGGGAGAATGCAGCGAGAACTCCAGACTGCTCTTGGGCGCTAGAGAATCTGTTCCTTAATTCAGATTTCTTTGTGACATGCATTTTCTGTAGTCTGCAGGACACAAATTAATTGAAAATCCTACTTGCAAATAATATTGCAGTATTATACTATATGTGGGTTGAAGTAATTCAGTCATGAGACACACAACCCCACTGATGTGGGGAAGGTGTCACTGAAGTTTAGCAATTTGCTGTGGACGAGAACTGCCGTGCTAAGTACACCAGCTCACTTGGCGCCATGAGGCTGCTCGCTGACAGCTGGGAAAATCACTTCGCTTGCCGGGCATGACCTGCAATTCACTTTGTGTGTACTAATTCAGGTTGTAATTGTGCAGTGTAAATTCTTACTTACTGAGCTCAAACTTAATTTTATAGTTGGTGATTATGAGATCGAAGTGTAGCTGTGTCTATACTAACACACTGATTATCTACTACTTCCTCTCTGACCTCTCTTAACTGTTCTAATGACAGTGCAAATATTGAACCTGTGACAAAGGATGCTGTGTGGTAAATAATGGGCAGATATTTTTCAAAAGCAAGCAAGCATTTGAGTTCTTTCACATCTGGAAGATTATCTTGACAGATTTCTTATTTTTCTAGAGTTTTTGTGTCATGCAGAAAATGAAAGCAATGCATGCTTAAACAGTGCACTAAAACCATCTTAAGAGATTTCCCACACAAATTTTTTTTAAGAAAAACTATTAGATACAATTTTACATGAATGGAATAAAAACACCTCAGAGAGAGGTTATTTGTTGTTTTCATTTTTCCAAATGTTCCTGCATGGAACAAAAGTTATGTTTGCACTTTTATCAAGATTGGATATCCAGTCTATTAAAAAGTTGCTATACAAGTTATGCTTTTAAGTAGGAAGCTTAAACATAAGTAATTTCAGCTGAATGCTGAATGCTGATAACTTATAATCCAATATTTACCATCAAAATCAATCCACTGCAGATTTTTTTTCATTTTATTACAGCAACAGTGAAATAAAGGGAATAATATATTTTCCATCTCAAAATATTTTACATATTAATGCATTTTAGTCACCAGAACACTAAAGACCAGAGCTGGTACAAAAACTACAGAACAAGTCCATGAAGAAAGTGGGGATTTGGAGGTCCGCCGAAGCTGCAGACTTCAACAAAGTCGTTACACCACTACAAATCAATCTGTTTTCTTTGACAAACTTATCACAAAGTGAGTTGTGTTTGGTTTTGTTGTGTTTTTTTTATTCCGTCACCTTGCAAAGCTACTAAAATGAGCCTTGTTAGCAAGCCTCTATGCTACAATGTTGGGTAGGGATTTTCTCCTTCCTTGGACAGCAGAAGAAGGTATTGTTATTCCTGGCAGCAAGAGAGAAATGTATTCAGTGATTAGGCTGAGACTTCCCTACATGCCCCCACATATATAATAACGTCCTATAATAACGTTCTAGGCTGCAGCTGCCTTCCATTCTAGAACCCCACCTGGGTTACCCAGCTCAGAACTTTTGGAATGTTGTTAGCAATCCCTGCGAATGTTTCTACACTGCTGTGTCCTGCAGTTTTTGTTACTCTGTTGATTTCTCTAAGGTGCAGGCCTTTGCACTTTGCAGCCAAGCTTTGCAGCCAACCTGAGGTTTTTTGAAATTGATGCTTGTGGCCTGAGCGTGTGGGAGGATCTATTTGGAAGGTGTAAAGAATTTGGGCACAGCCAATGTTTAAATTGACCGTTAGTGTCTTTGGGGATTGCCAGCGGCAGAGAAATCCTTGTATTAGAGCATCTTTTAGATATGGGCTGAGTGAGTTTATGTCAACGGTTGGACTCAATGGTTTTAAAAGATCTTTTCCAACCTATACAATTCTATGTGTTGTCTTGTGAACCAAAATAAGTACTTTACGTTGTGACTTTTGGTAGAAATAACTTGCTCTCTAAATCAACTTTCTTAGCATCAGAAGCACATTCGTTTTTAATTAACTTTTCTTCCATGCAATGGCCTAGAAGGTGCCTCAGTCCCTGCCTGTGCCCTGTGCTGGAGTGGACTGTGGTTTTGTCTTCTCCTTGCTTTTCCTCCACAGGCAACACTCACATTTCTGTGAGGGGCTTAACTAATGTTACAGGCCAGAAATCTCTTTCTCTCCTTTCTCCTGCTCTGGTGCAGCAGCCTAGCCTCTGGGCATAGCGTCAGAGGAGGCTGCACGTCTGCCAGGCTTAACCCAGGGTCAACATCTAGCTCAACCATCACAGAATCACAGAATGTCAGGGGTTGGAAGGAACCTCAGAAGATCATCTAGTGCAGCCCCCCTGCCAGAGCAGGATCACCTACAGTAGGTCACACAGAAATGCGTCCAGGCGGGTTTTGAATGTGTCCAGAGAAGGAGACTCCACAACCTCCCTGGGCAGCCTGTGCCAGGGCTCTGTCACTCTCACAGGGAAAAAGTTTTTTCTGATGTTTTTATGGAGCCTCCTGTGTTCTAGCTTGATTGCTCCCTGCCCAGCCCTCTAGCCTGTCCAGGTCTCACTGAGTGGCAACACAGCCTTCTGGTGTTTTTTCCAGCATACAGTCATGGAAAATCAACGTGAAACTTAAATTACAGTTAAAAGAAGAATAAGCGATGTGTTGTCTGAGGAGGGCTGTGAACTAAAACTAAAATGCTGTGAACTAAAAACTAAAAAGGTGTGAACTAAAACTAAAAATGTTGTCATGCAGAGCAACTTAATTGCTACTAAAAACTCCCATAATTTCTGTTGTCTTACTATGATCTTCAGAATTCTTTTTTTCCTACAAAAAGATGATTTTATTACCATGTTCAGCAAGATTTGGTAAAATAAACCTGCAAACAGTGTATGTTAGCAAATCCTCAGATGCTTATTCTTAAATCTCTCTATAGAAATGTAAACATTTGACCAATTTTTTAAGTAGTGTTTAAAAACTTATCCAAGTGTCAATGACTCCTGTGTATACTTTATTAAAATATCATACTGATTATGGGTACAGTTTTAAATGTTTTTTGGTTGTACTTGCCTATCTTTGTGCTTACATGTCAACTTTTTATCTTAGTACTGCAGAAGCAGTCTTGCAAAAAATGGATGACATGAAAAAGATGCGTAGAAGGCGAATGATGGAAGATCTTGGCGTGTTCCATGATGCAGAAGTAGACACCAATTTATTTTACTACTTTTGTATAAGTAGTATCTTTCACAGGGGGAAATTATTTTTAGTTGTAATTTTAGTCATAATTTTAATTTAGCTGAAATAGCTTCTGAAGAATAGTCTAATAAAACATAACAGTCTAATATAACATTAATTTTTGCTCTCTAATTATAATTTAACACCTTGCTGTTAAGGTCATGCTACAGATATGCTCTAAGGCTGCAGGAAATACCTTCTTCAAATAGCAGTGATACGCTGAAAGACGTGTCTTATACTGCGCTTTCTGAATTGCCTTGTGATTTTAAGAATGTACACTGTTTACAAACAGCTGTTTCAAGGCTTGGGTTTCATTTCAATCTTCCTGAAAACTGAATTCACTGATGGCTGCTTTATTGATGCTTGTTCTTGTGCCAGCCTTGCCTGCGAGCTTAAGTAATCTCGTGTTCTTAGAGGAACTTATGTTAAAATTATGTACAGCAATCATATTTCCCCTGTCTTAGTTTTGCTCTATTAAATTAAGTTGTTCTACTGTCCTTTTGAATGACAGGCACTTCATTTTTTTAAACATCTTCATAGCTTGCTCTCATTTTTGTTTAGATCTGAATTTTTTTTCCTATCGAAACCAGAATTGTCTGTAGAACTTTGTATATCATCTCTCAAATGACTGTATGATTTTTTTTTTTGTCTGCTAGGAATTGCTTTTTCCTGGGTTCTGCCACACTCTTGGGTTATTAACCTGTGATTAATCGATACATTTGTTTTTGTATCTTAATAAGTATTTAACTATCTCATGTACTAAACCCTATTTTAGAGCAGAAATTGTTGTTACTGCTCCTGAGTGCCAGAATGGTGTTCCTATTCTCCTGTACCTTAATTCAATATTTTCTGTATATGGAGTGCCTTGATAACATTACTGTATAGGCACCAAATAAGCCCATGTTGGTTCTTCTACATGTTTCTACATCTTTCTTATTTCTTTTAATTAGGAGAACCTCAATATGTACTCCCGAGGAAAGAAAGAAATCCAAAGAGCTGATAATGAAAGTGGCCTTGTAGGTTAGTTCTGGTTTAAATTTTCTTTACTGTGCTCTAGCCAAAAGCCTTGTCTGAAACAACTGAAACAGCTGAACTACTGGGCATTTTTCTTCTATTAAAAAAAAAAAAATCTGTATTGCCATAATCACGTACTCTATGGCTGTACTGTAGTGAGCTTAGAACAGGCAACAGATGGCTGTGGACATGTGGGAGTACAAAGAAATAGATGGCAATACTCAGAAAATACTGAGAAAGAGTGATCTCCTTACAGCAGGAGCATGACAGTTTTCACAATTTTAAGCACCACATTGAGAATTTTCAGGAACTAAGGTAGGCTTGCCAGATGTGTACGGAAAGCTCTTCCCAAGCGTGAAGATCAGCAGGGGAGAAGATATTGCTGTCCATTTTTGTGTTTAGCAGATAGTGGAAGCTGCTGTCCCAGCCTCTAATTAGGAGCTGTCATCCTGGTACTCAGTAGGAAATAACATGAGGAATAAGGTTAAATCATAAAAGGCCATGTTAATTTCACATCTGAAGTGAGGGGGCAAACAAAACCTTTAAGATTTTAAGAAGAAGGACAGTTAGGATTAAGGCAGTCAGTCCAGTGACCCTTGTAGGAGCTTTCTGGATGAAACAGAGTGGGGTGAGACTGTAGTTAAGGACAGAGGAGGATGTGGTGTTACTTGGCTGATGAGCATTCGATTTTGTCTAACCGTTAAGGTAGCACTGCCAGGTCCACCACTAAACTGTGTCCCTAAGCACCACATCGGCCTGTCTTCAAAATACCTCCAGGGATGGTGACTCAACCGCTACCTTGGACAGCCCACACAAATGCATGATAACCCTTCTGATGAAGAAATGTTTCCTAATATCCAATCTAAACCTTCCCTGGGGCACCTTGAGGCCATTTCCTCTTGTCTTATTGCCTGTAACTTAGGAGAAGAGGCCAACCCCCACCTCCCAACCCCAACCTCCTTTCAGTTGTAGAGCGTCTCTCCTCAGCTTCCTTTTTTCCAGACTAAACAACCCCAGTTCTCTCAACCACTCCTCATAAGAGTTGTTCTCTAGACTCTTCACCAGCCTCTTTGCCCGTCTCTGGCCACACTCCAGCACCTTCATGTCTTTCTTGTAGCGAGAGGCCCAAAACTGAACACAGGATTTGAGGTGTGGCCTCAGCAGTGCCAAGTACAAGGGGACAATCCCTGCCCTACTCCTGCTGACCACGCTTTCCGATACAAGCCAGGATGCCTTTGGCCTTCTTGGCCACCCGGGCACGCTGCTGGCTGTTCAGTGAGCTGTACACCAACACCCCCAGGTCGTTTTCTGCCAGCCATTTTCTCTCCAGCCACTCTTCCCTAAGCCTGCAGCACTGCCTGGGGCTGTTGTGACTGAAGTGCAGGACCGGACACTTGGCTTTGTTCAGCGTCATACAATTGGCCTTGGCCCATCGATCCAGCCTGTCCAGGTCCCTCTGTGGAGCCCCCCTACCCTCACACAGCGGGGGGTGAGGAAGTTCAAACTTGTGACCTGCCCATCACTGTTCGTATAATCTGTGGCAGAGCTAGGACTTGGAGCAAGATTATCATGCTTAGTCTTACCGCTATAGAGAATTAAAAACATTTCCTCAAAACACTTGCTCAAAATAACATGAAATGACTTTCTGAAATAGCAGTTTTTAAAGGAACTCCATCTTAGCTAAGCAAGATGACAAAATTGTTACTAGAGACTGACAAGAAGTCACCCAGCAATTTCAACAGACATAACAAAACTATATGTACACTTCTCTGTCTTTTATAATTTCTGGAATATATCTTGTATAAATTGGTCTTACAGTTTTGCAGATTTTCAGATCTGTTGTGTCATGAATATAAGGTAATAATAAAATCTATAGGCATCTCTGTAGTACATTTTGAATTTAATCTGATTTGCAACAGTACATAAACAGTTTTATGTTGATGTACCGTAGATTCATCAGAAGAAAGTGAGGAGAAAGAAGATGATGGTGAAGATAATCGAAAGCGTTATTACTTTCGACAGAGGAAAACTGTTGAGCGCTATCAAGCTCCACTGGAAAGTAGGTTACATGCACAATTTCTCTTAAGAGCTAATTTCTTGTTTATACGTGAGATTTTTTTTTTTAATGAAAATATATACATACACTCAACTTCTCTTTAAATTTCTTACTCTCATTCTCCAAGTAAATTTTGTTAAATGCTGTATCCAGTGCACATTATGTGCTTTTTGCATACTTAACTGTTGATAATTAATAAAAAAACAATCTATGTATTCCTGAAAGAGTAATACTTAAACAGGCTTGGTAATCTTGCTCTTGTAGTTTTCAGTTCTTAAAAAGCAGGTGTGGGGTTTTTTCACTTCTGCTGTGCACTGATTTAAAAAAAAAGTCCTCTCCAAAATCACTTGAAACTTCCCCTGAAATCAGAGATGGGTGAAACACGTCACATTTTCTGCCTCTTTCACTATCCCACTTTCTCTTAAACTTGTTCGTAACATTATCCTAAATTTTTTGCTTTCAACAGAACCAAGACAACGTAAAATATATTTTTCAGGCAGGTCTTCACCTGTGAGACAGAGATATTCATTTAGAAGTGCTCAGTCACAAGGCTCTTGCTGCAAACGAACTAACAGGTTGGTGTGTGGTTAATGGTAGTTCTCATTTATCAGTAACGCTGTCAGTCAAATTACTGAATAATGATTTCCAGGGGGTTTGGATTGGTGGTAATTACAGATTCTTAGTATAATTATTGCTGTGGTAGGCTGAGGGTATAAAGAAAAAAACATGGGGGATGAAGAAGGCTGTACTTTTTACTAGCCATTAGATTTTTTTAAAAATGCAGTATTTGTGGTCACTGATCAGGTAATTAGTTGTGGAAGTTGTAGCTGAGATTGTGTAACTGAAATTCTTTTATTCTGGAATTGAAGCCAGAAACTCCCTCTGAAAATCTTAGACTATTTAATCTTGAAGGGAACAAATAATTTTCTTAAAACCTGAGATAATTTAGTTAGAGGGAGAGCCTGTATGGAAGCTCTAACAGTTTTTTATTTTTTAATCATTCAAATACTGATTCTGGTTTCTCTTTGTAATCAGTTGACATGTCTATATGAAACTGTCCTTAAACAAGAAAATGTTAAATGAAATTATAAATTATAAATTACAAATTATAAATTGCAATAGTAATGCCAATTACCCTTCAGGCAGTTAGAGCACGGAGAATGTCATCTCTTGCTAGGTATGAGCACTTATTTAATACCCTTGAAAGCAGACAGTTATGGAAGGGAGAGGGTTTGAAGCCAGATTTTTAAAGAAGTTTAAAGGGTTTATGTTTCACAGAGTGGATGTGTAATGCCAAGTGAAACTCAATTTGTGTGTGTGTGTGAGAGAGAAATTGGACAAAATGAGTAATTTCTTTATGAAACTTCTTTGCAAAATACTCAAACGTTTTACCTTCTTATGAAAAACTAAATTTTGCTGTCACAAGGAAAAAACTGTACGTTGAGAGCAGATTCATAAAGAATAGAATGATCTGGAAACTTAATAGATCTCAAAGTAAATTCTGAGGTAGAATTCACTTCAACTTTTAAATTACTTAGCGTGTACTTTATTTATTTTTTTACTTATTTCTTTACATGTCTGCAGACGGAGACATGCAGTCCACAACAGTGATTCCACATCCTCTTCCTCATCTGATGACGAAGAAGATGAAGAAGATTTTGAGAGGCCTAGGAGTCGCAGCCATAACAGAGATTTAAGAAGGTTAATGATAAATTGGATAATAGGGAAGGGAGGAATCGGTTTGGGAGGAGTTTGCATCTGCCTAACTGTGAAGTGTTAGCCTCCTCATCTTCTGCACTTTCCAAATTGTGGATTACAGAAAATTTTAGAGGAAATGATGGAGAATGTATTATTTAACAAATGCTCTATTAAAACTTGTAATAACAATCTTAACAAGTAAGTTTTCAGCCCAATGTCTTCCAGATGTGTGTTATTTGGCACACATGTCCCAAAGTCCTCAGAAAGGAGGTGCAGGGGTGGGCAGCCTTTATGATCCACACTGAAATGGGTAACCTCTTGGGCTGTAACTTTCTCGGCATCAAAGCAAAAAATCTCTGAAGTGTATCAGTGTGTTTGGAGTTTTTTTCCATCACGCAGTTCAGTCTCCATGTACAGAATAACTTGTTTTAAGTTGGCATTCTTGTATGTGCTTTGTTGACTGGCATGGATATTCCTAAGTGCTAAGAGTTGTTAAAATAATGAACTCCGTTTAGTATCTGGAGTAAGCGTTTTCATTTATTTGCTCACAAATATTAAACGTAAACCAATCTGAACAAATATTTAACTATTAGGAAGTTTATGCTCATTTCTAAGGTCTTCTGTGTTCACTCACCATCATTATAAAAGCAAAAATCTAACTTCACCTTAAGTGAGAAGCATCTTTCTCTTTCTCCTGAATTTAAATCAGGTGTCTTCCGCTAAACTTCCGAAAAGATGAGTTGAAGGGAATTCACAAGGATCGAATGAAAATTGGAGCAAGTCTGGCCGATGTCGATCCAATGCAAATAGATTCTTCGGTAAGTATTTTTGGTTCATTATGTTACTAAGATGTTTCTAGCATTTATGAAAGCTTTCAGTAGCGTGCCGTCTACAGCTACCCGGGTTTACAGTTTTCTCTCAAGGAATTTGAAAATTGCCCAGGATATTTCCTTTGTGCTCACATATAATTTCTCATGGAAGCTTATCAAGACTGCAGCTTTCCTTAACGTCTAAAATGTGTTATGTTGAATTTATCTTTAGGTACGATTTGATGGTGTGGGTGGTCTTTCTGACCACATTTCAGCTTTGAAAGAGATGGTCATTTTTCCATTGCTTTACCCAGAAGTCTTTGAGAAATTTAAAATTCAACCTCCAAGGTAAACAGACATTGTTTAAAGTTAACAATTCTAATGTGCCTATATTCAACTGAGGTATCAATATGTTTCTGTGCTTCAAAATTCTCTGCAGTGTTGATTTTTTTTTTTAGCAGTAGTAGAAAGCAGTTTCTTTAAAATGGATAGAATCCGGAATATATGTAGGTTCAAAGATTTACTGTGGGATGAAAATATACTTGAGAAATGTGTTGCCTATTAAAGGCGGGGTTGAGGCATTTTGGGGTTTTTTTTTTGAGTTCTATGTACAAGTCAACTTTATTACTTTATAAGCAGGAAGGAATTATTTACTGGTAGTCAGTTTTAATTAATTTTTTGGAAACCCAGTTGTCTCTCCCACCAGCTTTTTTTATTTTCAAGTACTCAGGTATCAGATTTACAATGGATAATATCTTCCCACAAGTGGGGTCCAGTACTGGGAATGCGATGAGCGAATCTTACACACAGAGCCAAGATACCTGTTTATTTCATATCTGCACAGAGATGAGGGCCGAGGGTAATTCCACAAAGCTGACACACCGCAGAAAGGAACTATAACGTGTTTATCTTCTTACCTGATAAATAAAAACCTGCCTAAATTTACACTTACTGGTCAGTAGTCACCATCCCATCTGCTGTTGGTTAATTATATTTAAATTAGCCTCCCTTGTTATGTAGATTAGCAGTCGCAGTCTTCTGGAGCAGGATGTCCCCTTCTTATAATTTTTTTAGTACTTCACGGGTATAGCTGTTAGCAAGGCACATGTTTATACAAAGTAACATGCTTACACAATAAAGCTGTTGATCAATGATCCTCCTTAGAAGACCAATGTAGTTTACTTAATCCTATGCTAAACAGTGTCACTATAACCTAAGCATTAACCCAAATATGTGGTTTCACTTAGTCCTGTTGTAAATAGGACTTCCAAGTAGAACCTTGCAGTGTTTGGTGCACTTGGGCTAAAATAAAAATCTGTCCACTTCTTACACAACCAATTAGTTTTGTGTTACAAAATGAAATTATCAGAGATTTGTTAGCTTTATGTATTCTTGATCTGCAAAACTCAATCATGGTATATTGAAATACGACTTTAAATCCTTTACTTCCGGTAATTTTTAAAATATTGCAAATAATGAAAAGAAAATATTTCTCTGTTTTGCTTCTTTATTCATTGAAATTCCTTTTGAAACTGTAGTGTATTGGATTTTCGAGTTGATGGTTGTCTTTACCTGAAAATGCAGAATACCCTCCCGGTTTTAGGTGTCCTCTGCATCCTGAGCAGTGGGCGACCAAACGAAGTAACTTAAAGCTTTTTAAGAGAGAATGAAATACTTTACTATTGAATCTTGCCTTTTGTGAAAACAAGAATGACTATGCAGTGCACCATTCATTGAAAAACGAACTGGTGAGTCCTAAGTTAGCGCAGTCTCAGATTCTGTGCTGAAGTTTGTCCTTGTTTGGCTCCACTGTGGCGGAGCCAAACCCCTCTCAGTTTGTCAGCAGCTTTGGAAGTGTCCTTCTGTGACCCTACAGTCTTTTTGCAAGGTTTTGTACGTCTGCATTATCTTCTTCATTCATTTTGTTTGCTGCCTTGTTGAATTGCATAGAAACACAGAACTTCCATCTGTTTTGTCTCTTCTGACACTTCAGCTGTTAATGCTGCCTTATAGATGGAAGCATTTAGGAGAGTGGAGTTGTGTGGTTTAGGGGTGGGAGTTGTAATAGACGCATTTCGATGGTGTTTTATTCTTATGTGAATGCGCTTCTTTTTAATTGCAGAGGCTGCCTATTCTATGGTCCACCAGGGACCGGAAAGACGCTGGTTGCTCGGGCACTTGCTAATGAATGTAGCCAAGGGGACAGGAGAATAGCCTTTTTTATGAGAAAAGGTGCCGACTGCCTGAATAAATGGGTGGGGGAATCCGAACGACAGCTTCGGTTATTGTTTGATCAGGTAAGGTTGAAACGTGCCACATGTTCTGTCAGAGTCATAGCTGTAATTCTCTGTGGTCAGTATTTTTAAGAACTCCTTGTTGTGTTTTGTCAGTTCTTTTCACTGAAATGGGATTGTCAGTGTTTTCTTTTTTAGTGTCGGTGGTTTTTTAGGGGCTTGAAATCTTGTGAAAGATTCATAGAACAAATGAGAAAACCTTGCAAAGCAAACCCCTGCCCCCCAGCCTCAAAAAAAAACCCAATCCATCCACAAAAAAGGTTTCAAGAGGCGAGAGATGATGGCTTTAGGGCAGAGGGAAACAGATGCAGGCTGAAAGCATGGTCATTTAAATTCATAATGGAAGCTTGCTTCCAGAACCTGTAATTTAATTAAGCCCTAGCTCTGTTCTCAGAGGTTGCCAAATAGCTGTAAAAAACTACTGGTGTGATTTGTTTCCTGTCACCCAGTCTTTGTGAGTTGACATAGGCTGCTGTTTGCTGTTACTTGTGCCACTTACTCCATTAGTTTAATTAGTAGAGATCCCTGATGATAGACTGAAAAAATCTAGCTCCAGTGACTTTCCAACCATAACAATTTTCATGCATTTACTCTTTAAAATAGTGCTGATTTACTTTTACATCTCTGTTCTGTATTTTTATTTTAGGCCTACCAGATGCGACCTTCAATTATTTTCTTCGATGAGATAGATGGTCTTGCTCCTGTGCGGTCCAGTAAACAAGATCAAATTCATAGGTAGTACATTTCTTGTATATACATAGAAGCAGCTTGATCTTTATGAAAACAAGACCACAACCTGTTTAACTTTATGTGGCACATTAATTTATCCTGAAAACCAGTAATTCGTTGCTACTGAACTTATGATTTTGAAACAAAATTAAGCCCAATTCAGTAAGCTTGATTACCAGCACAAGGCTTGTGTTACCTCTATTTTTTTGTCTTTAAAATGAGTCTTTTACTAATCAGCATCTCATCAATTAAAACCTTGTCTTTTTTGAGTGATCCTTGGAGATAGTTGGGTAGAATGCATCAACATTTACTAAACCAGTGAATGAAAACTATTTTTCTGCTAGCTCTATTGTGTCAACGCTTTTGGCACTTATGGATGGCTTAGACAGCAGAGGAGAGATTGTAGTCATCGGAGCCACCAACAGGCTGGATTCCCTAGACCCTGCTTTACGACGACCTGGACGCTTTGATCGAGAGTTCCTCTTCAGCTTGCCAAATAAGGAGGTCAGCATGGGATCTGACATCGGTGATGGGTCAGGGAGCGGGACAGGAGGAACGCTGCAGAGGTGCAGGGCTTGGGATGCTTCTAGCTCAGTGGCAGCAGCTAAGTAACGGAAAAATAGGTATATAACAACCAAGTAATAGTGGAGGAAAAGATAGTGTGCAAAACTGGAACCCTGGTTTTGTGGTTTTTCTTTTGACTAACTGGTTTTTCTTTTTTTAGCGCTTTTTGGAAAAAGGATAAAATGCTTACTGGATTGAAGGCCAGCAAAAATTTGGGTGTTTTAACATGAACATTTGGGTCCAGTTTTTATCTGTTTTCAGGAATGGGAGAGAAGGTGCCATGAAACAGATCTGATGAATGATTCCCTACTGTGGAAGAATTCTAGAATTGTGCTATAATTAATCTGTGTACCAAGTTATACTTAAATCAAAGTCTTGCTAAGATCAGAGACGAGGATAGGCAATGTTTGACATTTTCTGGATTTGTGACAGGAGACTGAGTCATAATTGTTAATCCTCTTTGTAGTAATTGTAGGAATTTGAAATGCAGTGCTAGGACTGTTTTTCTTGTACAAGCTGGCAGAAAAGCAGATCTGATGAACTAATGAGACTGTCAACGATGAAACTTTGGTAAATTTGAGAAAAGTTTCTTTGTTGGAAAAGTCTCTGTTTGTGGATAAGGTTGTTTGGGGTTTTCTTAGCACAATTTTTTTCCTCAGCATCATTAGATCTCATACTTGTGGAAATACACTTTTTATGGAAGGTATAAATGCCTGTATTTTACTGCAGGCACCCAGAAAAAGTTTAATGTAACAAGTTGAGAATTATTAGATTTCCTGCTCAAAATAGCAGAGAGCATACTAAATGAGCTTTGAAATACTTAAAGAGTTTACTAGATAAGAATAGCATTTGTATTAGTGTGAGGATTTATTATGTGTGGTTTCTTGAAAGAGAAAACTTAGGACAAAGTCAAATGCAAACGTTTTGTTTACAGGCCAGAAAAGAAATTCTGAAGATTCACACGCGAGACTGGACACCTAAGCCACTGGATGCGTTTCTTGAAGAGCTTGCTGAAAAGTGCACTGGTGAGTTTGAAAACCAAGTGAGTTACTGCACGTGACCAAGTCCTAAGGAATCTGAACTTGCGAGATCTGGTGCCTCCCTGCAGAGCGAGACGGGGAGGCAGCAGGCACGCTTTGCAAGCAAACAGAGTTAGATGCTTTTCTTTTAATTTTCTTTCTGTCTCTTGGAACGTTGAAGGGGGTTTTGTGCATCTTCCTCAGGAGCAAATTTCTGACAAGAAGGCTGCTTTGTAAGTGCGGAGTATCAGCCTGGGAGTCACGTAACGGAGTTTCTCTGCAGTGCAGTTACTCTTTAAATTCTCTCTTAACCTGTTAATTTGTGGGTGCTTAGAAAACCTTTCAGTGTCGCGTTTTAGAAACCTGGGCCTTGACTTCTGTGTTGCCCGAGACTGACATAACATTTAATTCTTGTTTTGTTTATTAGGATACTGTGGGGCCGATATTAAATCTTTATGTGCCGAAGCCGTCCTCTGTGCTCTGCGCCGCTGCTACCCCCAGATATACCAAAGCAGCAAGAAACTGCAGTTAGACACCGCTGCTATTAAAATTACATCAAAGGATTTTGTCATGGCAATGCAGAAGACTGTTCCATCGTCACAGAGGGCAGTGGCTTCACCTGGGCGAGCACTATCACCAATTTCAAAACCACTACTTGGAAACACCCTAGAAAGAATTTTACAAGCCTTGCAGAAAGTATTTCCCCACACAGAACTGGCAATAAAGAAGGACCAACAGCAAGGTATAACAGTAACATCCACTTAAAAATGCTGCCAGAACAAAAACTTCCAATTTATGCAATCAACCTTCACAAAACTCTTAGCTGTAACCCTCAAAGTTTACAACATACACATGCACAGTGCTGGGTGGGAGCTGTGACTGGCTCGCGGTAGCCAGCAGAGCACTATGCATTCCCTGCTAGAGCACTCTGTTGCAGACAGGAGCTAACATATTTATCATTTGTAGAGATGGATCTAAGGTTTAATGCATGAGGCACCTCTTTCAAAAGAAATTTTTAAATGGGGGAGAAGGTTATTTTTACATGAATGCTTTACAGAATCACAGAATGTCAGGGGTTGGAAGGGACCTCAAAAGATCATCTAGTCCAGCCCCCCTGCCAGAGCAGGGTCGTTCCTGTCTGAAGAACATCAGGACCACAATATAAATGTTTTAAGCTAAGTACTCTTTTAGCTATTACAATTTTTAAACATAGTCTCTTAATTGAGATGTGGATCACGCTGTACACTTGCACGTGAGATCAGAACGTTTTAGCAGTGTGTACTTTGGGACTTGGCTTGCGTAGCATGTGTGAGCTCACGCTCCCGACTGCACCAGCCTTGGTCAGGTTTAGTCTGTGTCAGTTGGTGAAAGTAAATGAATTTGATAAACTCACTCCACTCCTGATTAATGGAGATCTGTGAGTAGTTATTTTTTATATTAATCACTGGGGAATATCCTGCCAGTATTACTCGTGGTAGAAGCTGATAGATCATTTGCATTGGTAGAACAGAGGCAGAAACCCAATAACAAAATAAAAGTAGAGAGGCTAGGGCATTGGTAATTGCACCCCCCTCTGTTGTCTGCCTTCCATTATCTCCTCCTTCGGGGAGCCTTGTTTAGAATATGTGTCAGTCTGTATATTCTGACCCACTAGTCCTAGACAAATGGAAGTCTGTGGCCCTCACGTTCGCTTAATTTCCCCACATCCAGTGGGGGAACTCCACTCTTTCTCCAGAAAGAGGTGGCCTTGTTGGGTTTTTCGGGTGCCTGAGAACTACAGAAGTTGTCCGTAATCACCTCTATTCTGAGGAAAAAAACCTAAGTTTTCCCCAACAGAGAGATTATACCTTACACAAAACATGAGCTGCAGGACAGCTTAGCAGAGACTTGTGCAATCTCCTAGGATCTGTGGTACAGTGAACTGTTAAGAAAATAGCATTCAGCATGTGCCCTCAAAGGAAGAAATACAAGCTAAGTGTTTTCCAGCGCTGATTTAAAAGCTGTATTAATGTGAGAGCAAGATAGGGACTGTTCAGGAAAGTTAACAAATCTCTTATGTCTTTCAGACAGTTTCAATCATATTTTAAGAAGTGATGTGTTTGACAGTAATGAGAAATCACCGTCGATCTTTGAAGATAAACCATCTGATAAAACATCTGGTATACAAAAGGAAAGTTTCCTCAATTTTAGCAGGTAAATGTTCATCCCCTTTATATTTCTGTTTTTTAAGATGGCTCGGTCTATAGACAGTTTTGGTGTGCGAGGTGCTAAATGAAGGAGTGAAGTGGTGGGGGGTGGTGATCAGTATTTGCAAGAAGTAAACGTGAAGATCCAGCTGAGTATGAATGCTCTAAGGGAGGAGACTGCCATAACCCATCCAGCTGGAGGGCCTAGTGCTCTTCTTCTGTGTTAGGGTGGTCCACAAACTATTAGAATGTGTAGATTTAATCCATGGTATTTCTTGAAAGACTCAAGGCTGAAGAAATGTGCTGTCCATCCTTTTAGCTACAAAACCCCTCTGTGGATTCCTGTAGCCATCTTCTGCCCTTCTACCTTCCAAAATCGTTAAACCAGTAGTGAATTATGTAACAGAAACAAAGTTGAGAAACTGTGTTAAAACATCGTGAGGAAAAACTTAAACAGTGTCTTCATTTTGTACCTTTAACCTATTAAGCTTAAATTTTAATGTGGAAGCTGTAAAAGCCAACAGTTGAAAAAATTAATTACTGTTGTCACTGTTTTTCTTACATTCAATTGCTGTGCTGTCCAGAAAATCTTCTGACCTGCTAAGCTTGGTTAAGTCTCTAGGATCTTTGACTTCAGCCAGGAATGGTAGTCAAATACTGTGGTGGAATAAACAAATGCTCTTCACAATGTGTTTCATGCTAGTAAAGCAGGACTTCTTGGACATTAATATCCAATTCAAAGATGAAACAATTAGAATAAATATAAATCTTATGTGTATTTAGCATAGTGCTGTCATTTAACCAATCCAAGTGTGTACTTGTTTTGATGCAGCTGGTATGTTTCAGTGGCTACATTAATTTTTTTCCAGAAATGTTGTTCTCCTTTTCCACCACCTCCAGTAACTGTGGCCAAATTTCAGCTCAACTTGGCAGACGTAGAGGTCTCACAGTTACTTAAACTCAAGACCTACTGAAAATTGCTGTGTATGGGTGGTGAAGAGGTCCAGACTGGCGTGTGCTGAGAGAGAGGGAGTTGTTATTCTCTCCCATCTGAGGTTACTGGCCAGTTGTCACGTTTAGCTGGACCATGCCTCTGTGGGATTTAAGAACTGTTACTTGACACAGCCAAAGGAACAGCAGACATGCTGGGGATTGGCAGGATTTCTTTGGGGAGGTATCATACAAATTTGTAAGAAAATGGACTTTGATAGTCTTCCTGCTTATTACTTGCTGAAGTATGGAAAAGTATTTACCAAAGAAAAAAAAGTATATAGGAAAAAAACTAACATCTGTGTGCTTCATTTTTAAAACTGCGTTTTCTTCGTGTTGCCCTAGAAATCCTTATTACCAGCCAACATCCTGGAGGCCGCGGTTCTTACTAGTTGGAGAGCCAGGATATGGACACGCTTCTCATTTGGCACCTGCAGTAATACACGCCCTGGACAAGTTTCCAGTTTATACACTAGACCTGTCCATTTTGTTTGTTAGCAGCACGTCACCGGAAGAAACATGTGCACAGGTATCTTTTCTCTGTTTAATCTCCTAGGATTCACAAACTATATATAAACTAGTAAAGTAAACAAAATTCATTGTGAGTGGAGGTGGCCTGGTTGGAATGTGCTGTTATGTTTATCTCTCTGAAAACCCCACTTTTCTTCTAGATCAAATGATACTGAGTAAGGATGTCATACATGGCAATATTTTTCATTCCAAATTAAACAGTGAGCATGTTACTAGCAGCTCGAGAAGGTGGGAGGTGCTGCTAATAACCCCTCTTTATGTCAAGAATCCTGCCAATCTCAGTGGGATCCACAAAGTTGTTTTTATTGCTTCTTAAGAATCAGTGCTCCCAGTAGGTGGCTCTGCATCAGCCTGACTGCACATCACACACTTTTTGTAACTGCCTTTTTTATTATGTTTGCAAGCCAATCAAGGTTTTGGGGAGAAGAAGTGTTTCCTTTTTTACATGTACAGGTTGTTCTGCCGCAATTTATGAAGTAAAAGCATGAAAACTCATGGAATGCTTACATTTGTACGCTGGTGTATTTTTCTTAACTAGGAGATAAAATACAAGCAGATTTAGTGCTGTTTTCATTTTTACTTTTGGGCAGGAAATCCATTTTGTTGTTTGGCATAATTTTATTACAATATTTTAACCTTTAGTAGCAGCATTTGAGAGCTATACAAATAAAGGCAGATGCATTACACAACTGGATACTCATACGTTGCAAAAAAAGAACAATTACTTTTTTGTTACGTGATGGTTCCATCTGTGGTCATGTAACTGCCGTGTCTAATCCCTGCCCTGATATACCACGTGCACTTCTCATCTTGTGACAGGAACCCCTGAATATTGATAATCTGTCTGTGTAGCAATGCCTACATTTGAGTTGGAAGTTCTTTTGTTTGTTTTTTTTTGATGTTTTGCCTTCATGAACTCCTGTTTCCTAAGACAGTTTGACTGATAGTTATTCATTAGCCTATTCTACACTGATTAGTTTTCTTACACAAGCTTTCGTTTTACCAGTTCATGCGAGAAGCTCAGAGAACAGCACCGAGTATAATTTATATCCCACGTATCCATTTGTGGTGGGAGGCTGTTGGAGCTACATTGAAAGCTACTTTTACAACACTTCTGCAGAACATTCCAACATTTGTTCCAGTTCTGCTGCTTGCAACATCTGATGTGTGTCATGCAGATCTCCCGAAAGAGGTATTTTTGTCGATACTTTTGTTGCTTTTTTATTCTGTTTCTTGTTAACATATAAATCCTTTAAGCATTGGAGTACTGTGCAGTCTTAAGCAAGTTACTACTGTTATTACTCAGGCACCCTAACCAGGTCTCTTAAATTTTGCGTAGACAAAGCAATGCTGAATGCATTTGTAGTGTTTTCCGAGTTGAACAGGTTGACTTTGACCCAACTACTCACGCTTATTAGACAGGTGTATAAATTTACTTCAGACAATAATTCCAGTGACTTCAAGATGGTTAGGTGTGCACTTAGTCTAGTCTGGTTTATCCTGTTAATAAATTCTAAAATTAGTAGATTGAAAAATAGAGTAAAACTTGGACGTATGAAGGTTCAGAAACCTCCTTTAAATTATTTTTTTAAAAAAAAACACCCAAAAAACCTAACTAAAAACCCCATCCTTGTCTGCTGCACCCTGCCTGTTCCCTCTATAGCTGCCAGAAAGATTCAAACTAGAGGACAATAAGGTGGTAGGCAAGTACAAAATAAGCAGTCTCGGAGGTGGTGAATGTCACCACTTTATCTGTGTATCATATAGTCTTCTTTGTTGAGCTTTAACTCGAGAAGTGTTCCTTAGAGAAGATATTGTAATTTGCCATGCCAACCTGTGACAAGCTAGCCTTGTAAGGCCAAGAGGATAACTTTTCACAGGTTGTCTTATCCAGGTGATTATTCAGTTTAATTTGGAAAGGTACTCATCTTTTGGGAATATGAATTTGTGTGACCTTATATCTGAAATTGTCTTTTCTCCTCCTGTTTTAGGTACAAGAATTGTTTCTTAGTGATGATGAGGTTTTCAAAATCCAGTCACCTACTACTGAAGAAAGAAACATGTTTTTTGAAGACTTGGTTCTATATCAATCTGCAAAACCTCCTGCATCAAAAAATAATGCAGGTGAGGGTAGTCTACCTATAAAACTTTGCTAACTGCAAGTTAATAGCTATACAGTGTTTGCTTGGGTGGTAATTTTCTATCAATAATTTTTCATATGCTTGTGTTTAAGTACCATAAATTGACTAAAAAGTTTCTGACTCATTTAAGCTTGGCGGCCACTGGAGGTACTGCCTCTAGCACCTCCACCTAAGCCTCGACAGCTGACAGAGGAAGAACTAGAACAGCTGGAGGAGCAGGAGGAGGATACTCTGCGTGAACTTAGGCTTTTCTTAAGGGATGTGACTCATAGACTGGCCGTTGACAGACGTTTCAGAGCATTTACAAAGCCGGTTGACCCAGAGGAGGTAAATCAGTGTTGATCTGTAATAACCCTTTTATATGTGTGTATTTGTAATTTCTCTGTGTATTTCTCGGTGTTTGTGTGCCCTTTATCAAAGGTTTACCTTTGGGTTTAGGACCATACTATTCTGATTTTTCCAGAGGCAGGAGGTGAATTTTGCTTTTGCAGACTCCTTGAGGTTCACAAATATCTATTATCTGAGTATTCACTGAAAGCCTCAGGTTTCCTTTAAAGCATCTTTAGAACTTTAGACAATTTCAGTTGCGAGAGATCATCTAGTCCAACTGCCAGCTAGACCAAATGCCAACACAGTTTGCTTATGAAAAGGCTTTGATATGGAGACACGTTACAGCACTGAAAAGCAGAGAGATCTCTATAAACAGTATCGTTAGGGTTGTTTAATAAAGCCTAAAGGCCTTAACTGACTGTCAGTAGTTGCTGTGAGAACTGGAATAGGAGCAACAATTCGTAAAATAAATTTAGAATTCTATACTGTTTCATCTGGGGCTTCTCAGTACAAGATCAGCCATAAGGACTGTGTGACTTCTTCCCAAACACTTCTTAACGTCTCTTCTTCTCAATTCATTGAATAAGTCTAAGCCAGGGGCACATATACTTTAAAGTCAGCTTTAGTTCTAATATATCTGTGTGTTTCAGCAAAGTCCTCTTCCCTTAAGCTTCCACTGACTTGTCTTTCCCTTTACTTTTGGTTTTTGAGATGTGAATAAACAAACACAGATGTCTTCACCTAAACTAGCCATTTTATGGTCTGAGTAAAGAAATTGGCACCTCTAGGTCCAGTTATCTCATTCTGAAGTAGATGCTTAGAACAGATACTTCAAAGGTGCGATTCCCACAGCCTTTTTCTTGCCGCCATCAACGAGGAGAATCTTGAGTGACTTTACCAAGAATGGTTTCTTTGCTGGGATTTTCTGAAGCAAAGTGAAACAAATCCCACTCTGTGTCTGTTCCCTTCCCTGCCCGACACACGCTTCTGACGTTCCTGCTGCTTTTTTCCGCCTCTTCTGGTTTGACTCTTCAAAGCCAGTTGAAATAGCCCTTCTATTTTCAAGAAACTAACTGGTTAATTTCCATGTCTTTGGACGTGTCATAAATATTGGGGGGGGGGGTTACAAAATCTTTTATTTGACTTTAATAAAGTAATTTATTCTGGTAGATGCTGAGCACATGTATTTCATTTGTAGGTACCTGATTATGATGCAGTTATTAAACAGCCCATGGACCTTTCATCAGTTCTCTCTAAGATTGACTTGCACCAGTACCTAACTGCAAACGATTTCCTGAAAGATATCGATCTAATCTGCAGCAATGCTTTAGAGTACAACCCAGATAGAGACCCTGCAGGTGAGGATGTAGTTTTATTCCTAATTTGTAGAAATTTTTAATGTATAAATTGGTAAATGTCATCCTTGGACAGTAGACTTTAGATTAGATAATTTTAAACATCCACAGAGAGCATTTATTGTCAGGTTGTAAATGTTGTAGCATTAAACAACTTGGGCATGAAAACGTGAATTAGAAGTGTTGATCAGTAAGTAGTGCTTTTGCTTTAATAATTAACTTTTATCTTGTTATGCTGAAAATATTTGCTGAGAGAACCTTTCAGAACGAACCTATGAAAAGAGCAAAATCTTTGTAAGCAATCAAAATAAAGGATTTCATTGGCTGGTAGAAAATACGCTGTTCTCATTGAAATTTCAGATCGTCTCGTTAGACACAGAGCTTGTACTTTGAGAGATACTGCATATGCCATCGTGAGGGAAGAAATAGATGAAGATTTTGAACAACGCTGCAAAGAAATTCAAGAATCTCGTGAGGCAAGAGGTATGGGTTTTGACATTAAGGATTTTAAAACTCGCATTTGTAACCAACAATGCAAGACTTAATTCTTTGCTGTTCTTCATTGTCAGGTTGTAGCTCTTCAAAGTATGCTCCGTCTTACTACCATGTAATGCCAAAGCAGAACTCTGTTCCTGGGTGCATGAAAACAGAACCAAAGCGCAACGAAAAAACAAAGGTGCCAGCAGCAGTGCCTGTAGATTCCAGCACGCCCTGCTCTAAAGGCAAGTTGCATTTTCTTCAGACTTTCTTGGAGAAGGTGCTAAAGTCACTGACAACGTCTCTGGTTTTGTGACATAACAAGTTTCTGTGATGCTTACTTTCTCATGCCAGAGGCATTGCAATTTTTAATTTGCTTCCAATGTGAGATAAATCCAGGGGTCATTCACGCAATATAGTTATGAAGTTCAAGTACAGTGATGGGTTTACATTGTAACACACTGGCCTTGATGGCCCAGCTGGCATTTAATGGCTCCTAAACTGCTACCTCTTGAAGTGAAAAATGTTGTGCATTGCATTTTCTGAATACTTAACTAGTTTTTAGTTAGATGAAACAGTATTTTTTTTTCTCTTCCCTGCCTTCAAATGCTAAACTCTTACTATGATTTCTAACTGAAGGGGGAAAAGAGAAAAATAGGAGAGCAATAATAGATATGTAAGGAACAATCATTATTTCCTCGCTTTTCCTGTGAAAAATAAATGAAAGAACTTGAGTGTCCCAGTTAAAACGTGTGACGTGGTGTGAAATTTCCTGGTCTCACTGGCAAGACTGGGAATTTTGCCGTTGACTTCACTCATGCTTTGTGCAGTACTCTGAATACAGTGGTGGAAGGCAAAACCGCGACATTTGTTTTAAACAAGGTTAACTCAGTCAAAAAGCATATGAGGTGTAAGTCTTCATGGACAAATTTTTTGTCCAGCAAATATTCCCCTAAAATTGTCTCTCTAACTCTGCCCAATGTGTGTTTAGCTTTCAAAGTTTATGGCTTTGTAAAAGATTTGAAGAAAGGCTCATCTCCAAATGCTTTTCTGTTGTTCACCTGTATTAGTTCCCATAATAACACAGTAAGGAACTTCACCTAGTAACCTTGCTTTGCAGTAATACTTCCTATCTAAAATGAGGATTTTCTGCTTATGAAATCTTGAAGCTGTTCAATTTGTGAATGAAATTCTGTAGCTGGCTTGTTAAATCTAATAGCATATTGACCTCATTAACTTGCAACTCTTTTTCTAGACATATGTAAGCAGACAATGGTACTTGAGCTCCTTTGATTGTTTTCCTTGTAAGTCAAGTAAGATGAGGATGCTGGATTTTGAAGGCAGAACTGTTTTCATAATGTTTTGCCTGCTTTTTCTGGTATCTCCTTGTAGACAGGTCAAAAAGAAAACGCAGAGAGAACAAAGGGTCTTCGAGTATCGCAACAAAGAGGAGGAAATTCCAGTTCAACAAAGAGAATAAAGTTCCAGAAGACGAAGATGAAGTAGAGAGTGATGAAGAGTCTCCAGAAAAGCATGGCTCTAACATGGATCACAGGAAAGTTGAGTCCGCACAGGATTTTTCTGTGGAAGAAAATGAAAACGTACTTCAGGAGTGTCAGAAAAATGCAAACAAAAATAAATCTGTGGCAGAAAATGGAAGAGAGAGAGTTCTTCTTGTGGCTAAATCTGCTTCTGGCAAGAAGAGTGCCATGCTTCCTGAACGTTCAGCCCCGAGAAAGGAAAGTGAAATGCCAGCTTGCCAAATAGCAGAAAGTTCTGAAGACGAAGATTCAAGTGGTAAGCGGAAGGTCAAACAGGTCATGTAGCTCCTTTTTCTTCCTGAGGATTATACTGTTTATTAGGTTTTAGCCTTCTTTAATTCCATTCTGCTATTTCTGTTGTACCTCTCTGAAATCAGCACACAGTGTTTCTTGGATAATGACGCTGCCTCTCTAGTTGTGCTAGCCAAACTCGTGTTTTTCCGCAGCTGCTGTTTTTTGATTCTGAAGTTTGTTTTTCAAATGGCACCTAATTGAAAAACAATCGTTGACTTTCTTCTATCCTGTGAGTATCTTCCCAGTAATGAGTAACGTAAATTAAAAAGCTGTACTTCAAGCAGTGTGGAACCAGAGTCACATGTGGAATGGAAGACTTAAGTCCTGATCTCTGCAATGTAAGACCTGTTTCCTAACCCAAATTACTTTGGAGTTCTACGGTGCAGTGCTGTAATGGCAAGGCGATTGTTTTTTTCCTGGTTTTACCCTGCCTTTTTCTCTCCTGTTTTTTTTTT